AGAAGTTTGTGATCTTAATCCTATCATGTTTGTCACTTCGCTAACTATGTTGGGGATCAAGCTACCTGGTTAGCTCGCAGAGGTCCAAGGGACAATGCCTCTTAGCGGATCCGGGGCAGCGCCCAGGCGGGGTTGAGGGGCAGTGCCCTTGAAGCAAAAGGCAAAATTGCAGTCGAAGTTATTTGTCCGCTCGAGCAGCCATTCCTGTGCTCGAGCATAGATCGTAACCTTTCAGAAGTTTCACTCGCCTGTAAAAGTTCTGGGAGTTGTATTTTTCCGCTCGAGTGTAGACCCTTGTTCTGAAACAAGCATTTTAGTGAGTCCGCTCGAGTAGAGATCGCGATTCTGTTTTCTATAAAGCTGTGATTCAGTCTGATTTTAGGATATGGTTTCCAGATCTTCTTTCTGGGGATTAGGGCTTTTATCTGGAGTTTCTTTGCTTGTTTCCTTTGATATCTGTGAGAGTTTATATCAAGCATTGAGTGGATTATATCAAAGAGTTTGTTTGTTTTGTTTTATTCACAAAAAAAGAGGGTTGTTCTTCGGTGGGCTCTGTGGAACTTGAGCCTAAAGTTTTGGTGGATTCCGGAGTGGCTCATTGTCGTGGATTTGACATTAGCGTTGTGGATTTGACGTTAGGCAAGACGATTCCGAGGTGAAGACAATGGTGGAAGAGGCATATAGGGTTCAGTTCAATTTGAGCATTGATTTGCTAAGTAATTGAAAGTACACTTGTATAATTCCTTTTGTCTTCTTAGTGGATTGTTTTGTGGCTTTTGCTTGTGATTTTTTTTTGACAATTGGAGGCGCTCCAATTGTAGTTTCTTTTTTTTTACGTTAAATCGTTGTGTTGATTTGTCTTTGATAGTTTGATTGGGATTGTTATTTATTGGTTAAAATTGATATATAATCACAAACAAATATCTCGGAAATTTTGGACTTTTGATCAGCCATTAAAAAAAAAAATTTCTCTTAGACATTTTGATACCTTTTCAAAAAACTATTATGTCTTATTATATAGATATTATTTCTTTTTAATTTGAGGAGTTAAAAATTACTAAAATTTTAATTCATAATATTTAGTTTAAAAAAATTATTGCCAACATTTGTATTTATATATTATTTTTTAAATATTTATAAAATAATTATAACATCACGGTTTGATTCGACAGTTGAACTAGTGACTCATCCACCCATTCATTTTCCAATTCATTCACTGATCCGATTTTCAAAACATTGGATGAACCAACCAAAAATCTATCTATGTACTATAAAAAGTGTGAAAAACCTATTATGTTTTCTACTTTTTTTAAATTCCAATTTTATCCTCTTAAATCTATTATATTTTCTGAAAGTCATGAGGAGTCCTATATAAATCAATTACCTATTTATTTTTGGAGTTGAACACTCAAAAACGATATATCTATTTCCAAGAGTCCTATATAAATATAAACAAACCATCTCCCTTCTTATCAACGAAAAAAAAAGAAGTCGTCTCTCTATTTTTTACATTGATGGTAATTGAAAAACTAAAAATAATTATTGTTTCTTATTTCTTGTGTCTACTTCTATCCTGATATACATAATATTTACAATTCATTTCTCGCTAAAGTGATCGTGAGCAACACGTAATCATTTTTCATGAAAAACATAGTCAAAGGTCTTTTCTAATTGGATAAATTATACACAAATTGAAGAATTAAAGGACAAATTGTCACAATAAAAATTGAGTATTGCTATTAGCACCTGCTAAAATAATTTAGATCCCCCAATTTATAATTTTTTTTAATGATAATTATACCCTAAAGTAAAATTATATTAAAAAATATTATTAAATGGAATACCCACTTATCAAATAAAAACTAATACTCTATAAACCACCACTTTCACCCCCACCTCCACCTCCACCTCCACCTCCACCTCCAAGTCCAACTATATATATTTCATGTTTGTAAATCCTAAACCTATTACTTTTCATAACCAACTAACATAAATCCTAAATCTATTATTTTTCATAATTATTTTAAATCTTGAATGTATCATCTTCATCAACGCTATTGAACTTGAAAGTTTTGCTTCAAGTATAACGTATACTTCATCACTTATTTCACTGTGTAGAGCAATGGAGGACGAGGACAACAATTCTAGTGAGACCGGCGTTCCATTGATAAGTTTATCTGTCTTGTATTAACATTCTCGGTCGTTTTCGGTCGTTCTTATTTCGTTTGAGCTGTTCGGTACTGGTTTGCTGACTGTTAGAATTATGTTCGGTAATACAGTACTGAACATAATCCTTTCGTTCAATACATAGGTTCCGAACATTAATGCAGATAGTCAGTTATGTAATTTTCTTTGTTAAACTAACTTAGAATGGAAAAGAGTGAATTGGAAAGGATTTAAGTTATGTATTTTGAATGGATTTAATTTATGTTATTTTAAGTTGTGAATTGGAATGGATTCAAGTTACACAGTGATGAACAAATTTTGTTCGGACATACAGTGCTAACAAAATCATTATTGTTCGACAAAACAGTTCTGAACAAAATACATTTTTTCGGATACACAGTGGTGAACAAATTGTTTTGGGCTACATTCAAAATTCTAATGGCGATTCAGACGATAATTCTGTTTTTCCTCATCTTGCAAACAGTTATGCAAATCCCGTAGAAATTGGAGTATCTTCGATCGATCTCAGCGATGACGAAGATACAAAAAACAACAAAGAAGATAATGATGAGAGGATGAGAAATTTTACTGATTCGGCGATACGGAGAGCATTCAGAGAAGATGAGAGTCGTCGGAATGTTCCGTTGACGACCGAGATGGCGACAAGAGTGATGGAGGGGTGGGGTCCAAGAATTTTATACTGGACCAAAGCTCCAAACTCTAAAGATTGAGTGTGTCAAGGAAGGAGAGGGATGAAAAATTAGGTGAGTGTGCATTTTATTATGAAAATATTATGAATATGGATAGATTTGGTAATAAGTGGGGTGTCCAAAAAAATATTGTTAAAATTTAGGGTTTAGGGTTGGGAGCCAAAGAAATGGGGGATTCAAAGAATTTTAGTAGGTGCTACTAGCAGCACTCTTATTGCACTTTAAAAAAATTGATTTTTCAAAATTACCCTTTGATAGTACATCTTTTGGAGAATATCAATGTCATAATTGTACTTTTTATGTTGTTATTGAATTTAAAAAAATGGCAAAATGAGAAATTTATATTATTTTTGTACTTGATTTTTGAAAAGGGACTAATATTCTGAAACAATGAAAAATGGAATAAGGGACTAATATTTTGGGACAGAGGGAGTAGTAAAAAAATATAAATTCAAAGATATACTGATTTTTTATTATTATATATTTTTTTATTCGAATTACACTAACGATCCCTATAGTTTGGGCCTTGAGTCACTTTGATCCCTAACTTTTTAATTGTGATACATTTGACCTTAAATTTTAAATCTTGCTCCAAATAAGAACAATTGAAGATACTATTGCTCAATTTCAAGGGCAAAGTCATCAATTTGATAAAATATAAATTAATATGACAAAAATAAATGTCAAAAAAATATTTTAGAATTTTGAAAAATAATTTTTACACACCAAAGATAAAATTATGTAAAATTGATAAATTTTTTAGACATTTATTTATTTATTTTATAAAATTAATTTTTATTATGTGTTTAGATGATAATTATGTAATGGGTGCACCATAATTGGACCGTCCTTATCTTTTATAAATAATAAGTGTTTAACGCTTCTGTTTTTTATTTTTATTTATTTTTGGATGGATATGGTTTAGGGTTGATTTGGCATCAAACTAAAAAATATTGTCTACTACATTTTTTTTTTTCCATAGTTTATTGATCCGTCAAGTGTCAAAGGATTTAAAAGATAAAAATAAATTTGTTCAACAAATTTATTTTAAAAAATAATACTAATAATAACAAAAAAGTCACTGAAAAAATAATCTCAAACACTCCCTTAGTTTGGGAGATCTTTTTTTGAATAATTTTAAATTGCTGTGTTTAGAGATCGAGAATGGCGATTCGAGAAAAATCAGGAACTGGGAATGTAAATGTAAGGACTTTCCAGACTGTTTTTGCGACTTCTTTTCACTTCTAGCAGAACCATCATTGTCATCAAATGTATTATGAGTCGAACTGGCAATGTGATTTATAGCCAAAAAAGCCAACTCTTTTACCCAAAACGACCTAGTTTTTTGTCAAAAAAATCACCAAAAGAGTCAAAAAGCCAGCTTTTTACCAACTTCTCAAAACATCACTATATAATTACTCAGCATAAAATGTATATTCAAATTCTTATTTAAATATTTTTCATATTTTATTTATTTAAGTTTGTTTTACTTTACTAGATTTATGTTTTTACAACCTTTGACATTCGGGCTAGGGTCCAAATTTTAACAATAAATTCACAATTCAATAATGATCAACTTGAATTTCTCTAAGTTAGTAATAGCCTGAGCATATAACTTGTCAAACCAGACTATGTGAACCAACTAGGTAGAACCTGCCTATGAACCCAATTGATGTTCCATACTACTAACCTTCTTTATTTTCTTTTTTTCTTCCTTCCATTATATCAATGCCCGTAGATAATAAACAAAATCAAAACAAAAAATAAAAACAGAGAATAAAGAATATATATTAGTTTAGGTAACAAAATCCACAAAGGAACGCAAACATGTCAACCTAATAATCTTACGAGATAATTTCAATACAATAATTGCACCAAATACCTCATCACAACAACAATCATAAACAAAGCACACGAATTACTAACATCCCTTCACTTTTTGTAGAATGACAACAATGGTAAGTGACAATTATGATGCATACAATGTACAACATATCATGTATAAATCATCTGATGAACCCTCCCTTATTCCTTGCAAACAGTGAGCAAAGGCATAACTGAGTAAATGCATATAATTATCTACAAGCTACCAAAATTTAAGGGACAACATGATCAACCGTCTCAGATACACAAAATGATGTGATATACAAAGTGAAAAAATGTAGCAATCTCAAATATTTAGTTACAGAAGGGCAAAATTATTTAGTGTTGAAAAACTATTCTTACATCGAACCATATATCGTGTGTGAGACTGCTAAAGGGGGTGCTTCCCATAATTTTGGAGGATTCTAGAATTTGTAAAGGGATGATAGCAAAATTCACCAAAACAACCCATTACAATCTTCAAAAAATAAAAAATAAAAAAGATGCTGATCTTTGGAAATCAAATAGAGTATAAACCCATAAACAATGATGAAGGATTTAAAGCTGCCTTACAAGTAGAACAGCTGCTACAAATTAGAGAGAGAGCCACTAGGTTGCTTCAATTGGGCTTCAACACCTTTCAACTCGTCCTGGTAAACCCATGTGGTGATGAGATGATGAGCAATTGCGAAGGGCCCAGGGACAAACATTGGAGCAAGGTCACCACTTTCCACATTGAAGTCAGTAGCAATGTTCTGTCCTTTTTCCACTCCTTTGCACATCTGAGCTACCTTGGCTGCCGCTGTTGTTTGTGCTTTCTTGTACTCGGCAAATGTCAATGCTTTCTTCACATCTTTCCTACTGTGCCACTTGGCATCTAGGCACAAGAAAAATTTTAAGGTTATAATCACTTTCAAAAGCTTTCGGTTATTCCACGAACACGCCTATAAAGTAAATTTTACTCAGCTGTCAGAAACTAAAAACATTGTCTAGCATTACACATACCCAAAGGAACGAAGAAAAAAAATAAAAATAAATAAATAAATAAAGCAAGAGAAAGAGGAGGGGGATATAAACTCCATTATAACTGCATTAAGAATGTTCAAATCCCCTACAAAACAATGTAATTTCTTCTTGGAAGGCATTAAAAATTTTCAATTGTTTTTATTATGTTATTATGTGATTTAAAGGAACATATCTTTAATTTCTTGTTGAGTAATATGCGAGTTATTCCAACAATACACAAAGGAAACTTCTGTAAGATGGCATCAAGATAAGCATGCCTAGAAGTGCATTAATTATGGAAATATTGTCAGTTGAAATTAATACATGGCAAAGCTTAGAACCATAGATAAGAAACAATGCTTTTGGGAGATTGAATGCAAGACGTACTAGGGAAAAATTAGATAAGCTAGCTGAGATGCTACTATCATGTGACACAGAGGCTAATGTGTGCTCTACTAACAAGTAATATGTTTGCTATGAAACTTTTGCAAGCATAAGGAGGCTAAAAAATCATGGAAGAAAAATTAATAGTGGCAAAAGCCGCAAAGTAGATATTGTCTAATTTTTGAAATTAATTTCAAGAAGGGAGGGGGAAAAAAATAAATAAATAAATAAAGGGGGAAGAAGAAGAAGAAGGCGAAGACGAAGACGAAGAAGAAGAAGAAAGAAACAGTAAAACACCAATGATCCAAAAGGGCTTCTAAGCACAATAGTTCTCATCTACAGCCTACTTAGGGCATGGCTTACATTACATTAAGCCAACTAGAGAAGACAGATCCACAGAGGCAGCCCCAAGAAATTGGGATTAAAATTTACTAAGTTGAGATGAGTATTGCTTGTCCATGGCATGCTTAAATGAATAGCCCTTACAGGAGAGAATAAATCTCTTGCACAGGACAGTCAACATAGCTTAGCATAAATGCAAAACCACTAAAAAGTTGTCAAAGGGAAGTGGTGACACCAATTCTAAGAGACATAGTAGTAGGGCACAGTTCAATTGTAAAAGGTTGAACCCATGGCAATCCAAATCCAAAAAATATAGCATTCCCCCAAATGATTACAAACCCTTTTCCAAGAAGTTCAAATTCAACCCCACGCCCCCACCCCCCGCTCGCGGGCGGGTAGACATGTTGGTACCCTAACCTTAATGAAGAATGGCAGATACTGTTCAGAAAATAAATAGATATTCATATGCTATTAGGTTCTTCAAGATAGAAAAGATCAAGTAGGAGAATCGACTACAATACTACAACATTTTCAGCACAATGCTTTTTGCTTGCTTATTCGGCTCAGCAAGTGGTTTAAGATTCCCTTAAGTACACTTTCCTGTTTCCCACAGAAACTGATATGAGAAAAAAGAATAGCTTATAGCTAGAGCCTAATAGGCACAAGAGCACCATCACAAAATGTGGCTCCTTAAATAGAAATGATGACATTGAAACCAAAAAAATATCAAGTCCAACTCAGCTATTTTCAAAGTACCTTCCAACTCTTCCTTGTCCACGCTAATTTCAAGTGATTTAGCATATGCAAAGAACCCCACCATTAATTGGCATGGCATGCTGTTGGGTCCAACTGCAAACAAACCAATTCAAGAGTACAATAAATTAACAAGAAACATTGTGGATACATACACATGTTTTCATAAATTAAATGCATGACACAAGGAAATTGCTCGACACCATTTTTCATAAATGCCATTGAACATTGAAAGACTTCTAAAATCAAATGAAAGTACAAGAAAACAAGGATGTCTCTGGGAAAATAAGCAGAATTTGTACCCATAAATTCACAACGAAAGGAAAAAAATGATTACTTAAAACTTGGGGCTCAACGAGGTAGGCATGCCTGCCTCAATCAGTCCATTGCCAAGAAAACAAAACAGAAACAGTAGGGGGAAAAAACAGGAAAGAGAAAAAAGGACTGCAGCTTTTACAAAAAAAAAGGGGCGATCAATAAAATAAAACCCAAGGAGCTCATCTTCATTTTCATTTTTCCCTCTCTTTATTTATTTATTTATTTCTCTTGTTAAAATATCAAAAACTTGAGCAAATGACCAGCAAACATGTGCTTGAGCAAAGGACAAGAAAACACTAAACCTCCAGATTAGCTTACAATATGGTTTCATGATTGCTTTTACAGGTCCTGATACCTTTCTGTTCCAAACCCACCATTGCGTTACCCTTAGCATGCTTCGTGCCAAATATCAAGTTGATCAAGTCTAGCATGAATATGATCCACAAACTCATCTATGTTGTTGTCACTAATTTACTAAAATTAGAAGAACACCCTTGCTTAGATTGTGATATGGATAAGGGAAAGTTCTTCATCTTTGATCAAGTTAATATTTGGCAAGCATGACCATTGACAAGTATTTAAGGCAAATCAAATGGTGCTCTGGTGGAAGATAAGAGTCATGTAGGACTCCACAAATATCAATCCTTCCACGAGTTGCAATATGATCTTGCTACAGCTGATGATGATAACAGCAACCAACAGCAATAAAATGATTGTTGTAACCATCATCATTGTTACCATCATCAACCAGGTCACTTAGTCCTTGCTCCAATGTGGGTCACTTGTGGAATAAATGGTGTTCTTATTTTCATAATATTCAAACAAAGTTATTTGATGCCTGTGACTCACTGAGACCTTGCAGAGCCAAGTTGATTCTGAATTCTCACCCAGTTCATAATGTTATGTTATCCTTTTCATTTTTTACTTCCTACGGAACATTGCATAAGCTTCCGTAGACATCTTCTTGTGAATTGTATTGTATTTGTATTTTATATTCTCAATTAAGGGTAATTTAGTCTTCTAGGTTATTAGGGTTTATTCTATGAGATTATATATTTTGTACTTAGCTTGGTTTTAATTAATTTGAATAAACAGAATTCCTCTTCTCAGTTATCATGGTATCAGAGCCATTCAAACGGCTGACCTAGCTCTGTTGCACATCGTCTTTGCTGGTGCCCTCTCTTTCTCATCTCGCAACGGTCTATCTCTTTGTCGCAGACCATTGTTCGTGGTTCACTCTCTGAACCATTCGACTGAAACAGGGCCTTCATCTCTCATCATCTCTCCCTCTGATTGCTCCTTTGCTGCTTTACTTCACAGCAATCATAGGAAGACTTCGCAATCCATGGTTCACGACTTCTCTCCCATTCGCAGGTCGTTCCCTTGTGTTTGATGTGTCTTTCGGTCGACTTGGACAACCAGTTCATGGCTTCCCTCTCTCTCTCTGACTTCGACAACCAGTTTGTGACTCTCATTTGCATCTTCAATAACCTGTTCTGCCCTACTTTGTTCGTGGGTCTTTTTCAGTTCGTGGCTTCTCTCTTAAGCCTCCGCAGCATCTGTTCTCAGTCTTCGCAGCATCAGTTTGTATCCCTCTGTCTGGTAATACTCTGACTAGTGACACTCTGTGGTTTAATTATAGCAATATGGCTGATGATAAATTACAAGCTATCACTACTAAGTTGGATGGTACCAATTACTCTTATTGGTCTCATGTCATGAAGAACTTTATAAAGGGTAAAGGCATGTGGAACTATGTTATTGGTGTAACAATTAGACCTATGGAATCCCAAGAAACTGAGGCTGATGTTGCTAAATGGGATAAGGAAAATGCACAAACTCTTACTTGGTTTCATAATGCAGTTCAAACTACCATTGGTATGAATTTTTCCAAGTATTCTACTTCTAAACAAGTTTGGGACTATTTGAAAACTATGTACCTTGAGTCTAACTTTGCAAAACAGTATGAACTTGAGATGTCTATTCACAGTGTTAGTCAAAAAGATAAGTCCATTCAAGAATTCTACAATGAGATGACAACTTATTGGGATCAGCTTGCTTTAATGGAACCATCAGATTTACAGTTACTTGATAGTTATATCAAGTATCGGGAGAAGCAACGTCTTGTTCAGTTTCTTATGGCCCTTCGTGATCAATTTGAGCCACTTCGGGGAGCTATTCTTCATCGGTCTCCCTTGCCTTCTGTGGCTGGTGTTGTCTGTGAGCTTATTGTGAAAGAAACTCGGTTTAAGGTGGCTCATAGTGCTCCTGCTTCCCAGTCAGTTTATACCACTCCTCTGCTCTTGCCCACCCCATTTTCTCATTTATTTTGGGACTATTTGAAAACTATGTACCTTGAGTCTAACTTTGCAAAACAGTATGAACTTGAGATGTCTATTCGCAGTGTTAGTCAGAAAGATAAGTCCATTCAAGAATTCTACAATGAGATGACAACTTATTGGGATCAGCTTGCTTTAATGGAACCATCAGATTTGCAGTTACTTGATAGTTATATCAAGTATCGGGAGAAGCAACGTCTTGTTCAGTTTCTTATGGCCCTTCGTGATCAATTTGAGCCACTTCGGGGAGCTATTCTTCATCGGTCCCCCTTGCCTTTTGTTGATGGTGCTATTCATGAGCTTATTGCGGAAGAAACTCGGTTCAAGTTGGCTCATGGTGCTCCTACCTCCCAGTCAATTTTTGCCACTCCTCCACTCTTGTCTACCCCACCATCTCATTTATTTCAAGTTACTGGTAAGCCCAAACCTCGGGTTTCCATGGATGAGTGCAGCTTCTGTCATCAGAAAGGTCATTGGAAACATGCTTGTCCTAAACTTTTGCAGCCCAAGGGTCGTTCGTCTGATCCACCATCTTCTAAGCCGACATATTCAGGATTTCACTCATCTGCCGCCTTCTCTGCACCAGTTTCTGAAAATGATCCGTCTTCCAATATACAGTCTATGTTTGAGCAGTTCAAGTCTTTCATGGTGGCCAATCCAAATTTTTCGTCCCAAGCCTCTGCTATGACTACCACTCAGTTAGGTTTATCTGGTTCATCCTCTTCAGGTACTATCCACACTTCGTGGATTTTCTATTCTGGTTGTTCACATCATATGACCCTTGTTGCATCTTTCCTTAGTAATTGTGTCTCCCCTTCTTCTTCTATTACTAGTGCTACCGCTAATGGTTCTTCTATGCCTGTTCACTCTATTGGTTCTATTTTCTCTTCCCATTTGTTTCTTTCTTCTGTATTTTATGTGCCTAACCCCTCACTCAGTCTTATTTCTATTAGTCAATTATCTGATTCCGATTTTGATGTTGTTTTCTCTTCTTCTTATTGTGTTGTGCAGGATCGGGTATCCAAGAGGCAGATTGAGATCGGGCGTAGAGTTGGAGAACTATATATCTTGGACAGCTTGTATGTTCCTCTAAAAGTGTCTTCTACTGCATTGTCTTCTTTTTGTTTAAACAATAAGTCTTCTTTATTTTATATTTGGCATTCTAGGTTAGGTCATCTGTTGAGTGACCGTTTTAGGATGTTAGTTCGGTATGGACATTTAGGCAATTTTCCAATTGATGATATTTCTGAGTGTCGTGGTTGTAAAATGGCTAAAATGTCTCCTCTTCCTTTTAATAAAAGTAGTTCTATTTCTTCTTCTCCTTTTCAATTGGTTCATATTGATGTTTGGGGTCCTTCCCCTATAGTTACCAAGGGTGGTTCGCAATATCATGTGTCCTTTGTGGATGATTACAGTCGGTTTACCTAGGTGTATTTGATGACTCGAAAATCTGATTTTTACAAAATATATTCTAATTTTCACTCCATGATTCGCACTCAGTTTTCTACCACCATTAAAGTTCTCCGTTCTGATTTGAGGGGTGAGTATTACTTGTCCGAGTTTGAGGAGTTTTTAACTATTCATGGCACTATTCATTAGTCTTCATGTTCTGACACTCTTGCCCAGAATAGTCGAGCTGAACGCAAACATCTCCATCTCCTTGATACAGCTCGCTCTTTGTTGCTTTTGTCTTTTGTCCCTTCTGTCTTTTGGGGAGAAGCTATGCTCACTGCTGCATATCTTCTCAATCGGATGTCTACTTCTCTTCTTTCCGGCTCATCCCCGTATGAGCGTCTTTTTGGTGTTACTCCCAATTATTCTCTTTTGCATATTTTCGGTTTTGCATGCTTTGTGCTCCTTCCTAAACGGGCGCGCTCTAAGCTTAGTTCTCGTTGTGTCCTATGTGTCTTTTTAGGGTATGGCATTAATTAGAAAGGTTATCGATGCTATGATCCTGCCACCAAAAAGCTATATGTGTTTAGGCATGTCACATTTTTAGAAAAACTACCCTACTACACTATACCTTCCACCCCTGTTCCTTTTACCAAGGATGAATTGGTTCATGTTGACCCATTTCCTCAAGATGTTTCTCCCGATGAGTTTGTTTCTAATCTTGAGGTCTCTACCTTGCCTCTTACTAGCACTTCTGATATCTCACCAACTCCCTCTCGAGCTCCTACTTCCCTTGCTCCTCTTATTGTTTATCAGCGCCGCAAAACACTTCCGAGCTCGCCTGTCTCTAGCTCTACTGTCCCTCCAACTGTTTCTTTGGATCCCGCTCCTCTTGCACATCGCTTTCCAAAGCGAGACCGTCATCCTCCGAACTGGTATGGTTTTGGTAATACATGTTTTTACCTTTCCTATCAGTCTTTTCTTTCTTGTCTTCATACTTATTTTGAGCCCAGGTCCTACAAGGAAGCTTGTCATGATCCTAATTGGATTGCTGCCATAAATGACGAGTTAACTGCTTTGGCTAACACTCAAACTTGGGAATTGGTTCCATTTCCTGCTGGTAAGCTATGTTACATGGACTTAGGTATGAGTGTCGGGTGCGGGTGTGTATCCAAGCGTCAGACCTTCATAAATTTAAATATTAAGATCTTGGGATATGTATCCAAAATTGAATATGGGTACGGGGACACGTCACAAGCACATATATATTGCATATTATTTAATATTTTCGAATGAGATGTTTTAAATTATGTAGAAATATATTAGAATTAAATATGATTAAGAAAAAATATGAAATTTCTATATCTAATTCATCTATTAGCCTAAAAATATTGCTTTACTAACAAATATGATTTTCTTCTTCTTCATGTATTGTCACAAATTAAAGGATCTGAGTGTCTAAATTGGGTACGAGCATCGGACACATATCTCACACCTTTATCCTTGTCATATTCGGTGGACACGGGTACTCTGGGGGAAATAGAAGAGTCTGTGTAACATAGCTGGTAAGAATGTTATAGGCTGTAAATGGGTGTATAAGGTCAAAACTTTTTCTGATGGTTGTTTGGAACGGTACAAAGCTCGTTTGGTTGCCCAGAGTTTTTCTCAGGAGTATAGGATTGATTACGATGAGACTTTTGCCCCCGTTGCCAAGATGACTACTGTTCGCACTCTTATTTCTGTTGCCGTTGCCCATCAATGGCCTTTGTTTCAACTTGACGTCAAAAACGTCTTTCTGAATGGACATCTTGCTGAAGAAGTGTATATGCGTCCTCCACCGAGTCTTTCTCACCATCCTGGTGTTGTTTGTTGTCTTCGCCGTGCTCTTTATGGTCTCAAGCAGTCTCCTCATGCTTGGTATGAATGATTTCACTCTGTTGCACTTCAGCTTGGATTTCGCCCTAGTCATCATGATTGTGCTTTATTTGTTCGGCGCACTTCTGTTGGCCTTGTTCTCCTTCTCTTGTATGTGGATGATATGATCATCACTGGCTCTGATTCTAGTACTATTGAGGAGGTTAAGCATCAGTTGTTTCAGGAGTTCGAGATTAAGGATTTGGGGTCTCTTCGATGTTTTCTTGGTGTTGAGGTTGCTACTTCTCCTACTGGGTATCTTCTCTCTCAGACTAAATATGTCCACGATATTCTTTCTTGTGTCAATCTCACTGATGACAAAATTATCGATACTCCTATTGAGTTGCATGCTAAGTTTTCTACTTCTAATGGCGTTCCTCTTGAGGATCCCACTTTGTATCGCGAGTTGGTTGGATGTCTTGTTTATCTCACTGTTACTCGTCCAGATATCTCATATGCTGTGCACATTCTCAGTCAGTTTGTTTCTGCGCCTCGTTCCACACACTAGGCTGCCTTACTTCGTACTTTGCACTACCTTCGTGGCACTTTGTTGCAATGTCTGCTGTTATCTGCCTCTTCGGACTTGACTCTTCGTGCCTATGCTGATGCTGATTGGACAGGTGACGTCTCTGATCGCAAATCCACTTTTGGTCTTTATGTTTTTGTCAGAAATTCTCTCATATCTTGGAAGAGTAAGAAACAGTCAGTTGTTGCTCGTTCCACCGTTGAGGCTGAATATCGTGCCATGGCTAATGCTACTTCCGAAATCGTTTGACTTCGGTGGCTTCTTTCTGATATGGGTGTCTCTCTTTCTGATCCGACTCCATTGTATTGTGATAATCAGAGTGCTGTCCAGATTGCCCATAATTCAGTCTTTCATGAGCGGACTAAGTATGTTGAAATAGATTGTCAGTTTGTCAGGCAGCATCTTCAGGCTGGCACTATTACTCTCCCTTTTGTTCCCTCCTCTCTTTAGTTGGTCGATTTATTTACGAAGACTCACACTGTTGCTCGTTTTTGTTTTCTTCTCGGCAAACTTTCAATGCTTTTTGTGCTCGCATCCTCAGTTTGAGGGGGGGTGTGAATTGTATTGTATTTGTATTTTATATTCTCAATTAATGGTAATTTAGTCTTCTAGGTTGTTAGGGTTTATTCTATGAGATTATATATTTTGTACTTAGCTTGGTTTTAATTAATTTGAATAAACAGAATTCCTCTTCTCAGTTATCACTTCTACCCTCCTATAACCACACCATAGTAGCATCATGAAAATGAAAAAACATTAACACCACCACCAACAAACAACAAAGCATGTTGTAAAATAAAAAGCACAAATGAAGTGTGCTGTGAATATAATACCAGGCCATGGCTGTGAACTGTGATATTTAACTTCTCCAACTTCAATGCCAGTCTCCTCCCATGTTTCTCTCCTCACTGCCTCTTCTAAGCTTTCTCCAGGCTAAGAGAAATCAAAGAATTCAAACTAATGAAACCTTCTATTGTAAATAAATAAACATATGAATAACAAACCACAATAACTTAATATGTAAATAGCAAACTACAGTATTCCAGTAACGCTAGTGAACAACGAGTTTTTTTTTTTTTTGGTTAAGGAGTGAAAATTGAGATTTTAATGACCCTTTGTACTATCATCATTAAATATTTGTGTGTATCTATAGAAAGTCCTATGAATAACAGAAAAACGATATATCAAACTATGGCTTCACAGGTTGAGCCAAATGCGAAGTTCTACATCTGGGGTCACAAAGGTACTTTTCTCCTCCAAAAATAGAAAGTAATGATGCTAGGTTTCTCATTTCACAAGATGTGCCTCAAATGTAAAAACAGTCCACGAGTCAGTGAAGTGTGTACCTCAATAAAACCAGCAAGGCAGCTCCACATGCGTGGCACAAATCTTGACTGTTTACTTAGAAGTGCACGGTCATTCTCTTTATCTATTACTAACATAATGACAACCTGCTTCAAGGTTACATGGGTCAGAGAAAACAATAAAATCATGATGCCAGAATGTCAAAGGCTGGTCAAAGAAAAGAATGAGAATCACCCTACCGGATCAACTCGAGGGTAAATCCTCTTTTTGCATAACTCATTTGAGCACTGCTTCCGTCTCCCAGCCTCCTTGGGAACTGTTTTTTCTCCACAATGTCCACAAAAACGTGATATGTTGCGCCATTCTAGCAATGCCCTAGCCTGATCAAAAGTATTGGCAAGTAGCAAATTAAAAGCTAAAGGTAAAAACCAGTGCATTAGAGTCTCTATATGTTGAAGTCGAGGGCATAACAAGGAAAAAAAAAAAAGAAAAAAGAAAGAAGAAGAAGAAGAAGAAGATAATATTCCATGAATAACAAGGAACTCATGGTTGATGTTTGATCATGGAGTATAATTAGAAAAGGGGAGATTATGTCAAAGACCCCTCCGTATAAGTTTTCAATGGCGCAAGGACACTGACAAAAAAAATTCTAGACGAAGTCCTTTAACGTTAGAGATTGTAACATTTTACCCAAACTATCCTTACAGTTAGTGCATTACATGCATCAAACACTCTATACGAAGATTTCACCAACCAAATCTTGTTTGATACACAATCAAGTACAAATCTACAAAGAAGACATCCATCTTCCTATCTTTCTTTGATTGAGAAACTATTGTCGCTGTTTTGCTGCCAATATCCTCCCATGGCTTCTATAGATAGTGTGCTAAGTGACGCACAGAGAGAAGGTAGACAAAATTACAGTGGTTGTGGTGAAATAGATGTAAAGAATCAGAGTGATGTAGAGAAAAACGTAACCCATGGAAGGTGTAGGGTATATTTGTCACAAAAAATTATAGAAGTTTCGAATTTGGACCTAGTCTTAGAGATTTCAAAAACAGAGGACTTTATCCTCTAAAATTTCTTGGAGTATCCTCCTTCAATGATAAAGTTATTTTCAGGGGGTTTTCACCAATTTTTCCTTAGAAAAGCTTGTGTGTAATGCGCATATAAACATGTCAAAGAACAAGAAACTCAATTTCTTTACATATAAAATATTGGGATAAAAAAAGATGACATCATTGATTGGAAATCACAAGGCAACCAAAAGGACCTGTGATAGGGAAATATGATCAAATTCATCAATTATTCATTATGAATACAAGCACTTCTGCAATCCATTTATGTCACATTGGACAAATCAACCAATTTCATATGCAGAAGTTGGCTCTATCACTTTTTACTCCTTTCAGCACTTGGTGTGTTTGATAACATAATTCAGCATTTAAAACTAAATTGATTAAGTGATAATCAATTAAGCCTGCTTGATAATTATAGTTAATATCACTTAAAAATTTAAGTGTCTCTTAAATGTAGGCTAAAACTTACAAAAAAAATTAAGCCATATGAAACTTACTTAATTCTGACTCGATTTATAAATACTAAACATAAATGTTGATATACACTATTATAAATTCGCCGCCGCCGCCACCACCACTGCCACTACCACTGTTGCCACCACCACTATCATCATTGCCGCTACCACCACCACCACCACCACTGCCGCTACCACCACAACAACTACCATCAGGCCATCGCCATCGTAGCCACTACCACTACTACCATCTTTACCACCACCACCACCACCACCACTACTATGCCACTGCCGCCACTACCACTACCACTACTACTACCATCACAATATAAAAATTAAAATGTATAATTTGAAAATAATAAATTTCAAATTTGATCTTGTACATATCAAACAACTTATTTTTAATTCAACACTTAAATTTTTATTAAACAACTTTTTAGTTTAACAAATTCAGCATTCAGTTTTCAATACTTAATTTCCAATCTTCTGTTTCAATACTTAATTTTCAACCTTTAGTTTTCAGTATTCAACTTTATCAAACACAACCTTAGACGTCAACTTATTGCTTATTTGCTTACAAAAGTTGACTAACAGTGTTTGGTTATAATTTTAAATTATAACTTATTTGACCAAAAAAGGTAAGATAAGCTACAATTTGTAGCTACTCTACCCCCCCCCCCCCCCCCCCCCCCCACAAAAGAAACAATTATTCTTACTGTTATTAGATGTGACGGCTACTGAGTGGGAAAGACTGACAGTTACTAGGTATAAAGACATTCTTGGAAAAGCCAAAAAAAAAAAAAAAAAGTGACAGCTTATTTAGTCAAATAGGTTTAACGTTTTTCACAGATTACCAAAAGTTGCATCAAACATATTTACAACTTATTTTAAGTCATTTAAACTAATAACCTAAAAAGTTGAAATCATAAAAGCTAACTTATAAGTGATACCAAAAGGGTCCTTTATTGGTATCTTCTATCTTGTAAGGCCTAGTACATGAACCTTTACTTGTTTACGTTTTTATTTGGATGAATAATTTAAAGACAAAAATCACTTTCTTTAAGAAGAACTCTATTAGTAATACAAAACCATACCACCCCATGTGGCTCATAAAAAATAAAAACTACAGCATTCCACTTTTTCAAGTAAAAATTTTTATGGCTATCTGTTCCGATATTTTAGGAAAGTTCAAGCTAAGTTCATTAGTTGTACACGTGTCTTCCTTAATTTTTCATCCAAAAGGTTGTTTGGTTGATGAGTATTAGAAGACTATAAACAAAAGCATATCAGCATGCTACTCACTAGTTTGAACAGAAAAAGTATATGGGTCATTGGGTTCCTTTCCAATTTTACAAAACAAGTTTCTACAGGAACACATTTCCGGAAAGGGCCACACCAACCAACCAACATAAAGTGGTCTGGTGGCAAAGAATTGCATTTTATCTAGGCTGTGTCTGGTTTAAGGATATGAGGAGGCATGTGCGAAGAAAAAGGAAAAGGGAAGGGAAAATTGAAAACACATCTTTTCACTTTTCTCCTCTTCTTTTCCTTTCTCTCCACAAACTCCCCTCAAATGCTTAACCCGAAAACAGCTTCATGGTTCCAAATACATGAAATTCAGAAATCTTAAGGCCCACATTTAGTCCCAATCAGTTTCAAAACAAGCAATGAATTGGAATTGATGTCATCCATTCATGCTACCAAATGCAGCAAAATGTAATGCCCTCAACTTTCTTAAGGTGAAAGATGAACTTTGTGTAATTCACAAAGAAGACAACACTGAATTTGAATCAAATTGGACTATCAATAAACACTTACATGACCAGCAACAGCGAGATCACCCATAGCTCGATCATCGCTCCAATCAGTGGCGACCATCAAAGTCCTCAGCTCAACAAAGCACAACTGTCTACTCCCCAATTCATTCACCAGACTATCAACCTCGGACACATCAATTGCCCAATAAACCACATCCTCCTCCGACTTCGAACCCAAGTAAACCAACAAGTCTTCACTCAAATTAACCTCAGAATTCTCCAAAAAAGCTTTACAATCATCCAAACTCAACCAACCCAGATGCCAATTCGGCGCGGAATTGATCGAATCGGCTGTTCCTGCCAAAGGCCTGCCCTTTCTGAAGGGAAGTACCTTAAAATTAGGGGAAGAAGGTTCATGGGTGTGCCCTAAAAGGATGGTTTTAAGGGTTTGAAGGGCAGAGTTGGGTGAAAAGGGGTCAGTTGGTTTAGGGGTCTTGGATCTTATGGGGTTGCCTGCAAAGGCATGGGAGTTCATGTTAATGGACATGGTGGAGAGGAGGAGGTGGGAGTGGGTTCTTGCTATGGCAAAGGATTGGAAAGAGAGAGTTTTAGAGAGAGAAAGAAGGGGGAGAGAGGTTGAAGATGAAGGGAGGAGGAAGAGCATGGCTCAGTCATTGGTTGGTTAGTTGGGAGATTGAAGGAAAACAAATGATGATGTGATGATGATGGAAGAAGTTTGATGGTGATATGGAGTGATTATTGGCTGCATTTGGACTTTGTCACCTAAGAAAGTCAAATATTAACAAGTGTGTACGATTATTTTATTTTTAAAAGAGTGCACGAATGGTTTAATGTTAAAAAGTATGCATAAATTATCTTTAAAAGTATAAAAAAAAATGTATTGATTTTAATAAAAATATATTAAATTTAGTGAGATATATTTTGTGTTGTTTAAATTTTGTATCTTTTACCTATGCATTAGAGACATTTGTTAGTAAAACTTTTCTATGAAAAATGTTATGCATCTTAAGATTTTATCAAGATTTTTATCAAATATGTCATATGAGCGTAGGAGTCACACTATGTATGTCTTATGTTGATCTCACATCTATTTGAGATATTTAATAAAAATTTTAATAAAATTTTTAAGATATCTAATATTACTCATAATTTATTATTTAATATTTGTCAAGTTGTTTTCTAAAATCTGATGAAAAAAATTGTTTACGAAAATTAACAAAATATAATGATTCTATTATTTTAATATAAATAACAAAGTAGAACACCTCTTGAATTTGCCTCGCGATCATCAAATAAATTTTGAGTAAATAAGAAATACATCTACTGAGCTTTACATGAATATGAATTATTTCTTGTGACCCTTATTAGAATTTTTTTTATTTAATAAAATTAATTAAAAAATAAAATTTTAATTGCTCTCTTATACAATAATAAAATTACTTCATTTATTAATTAAAATATATTTTTGATATAATTAAAAATTGTTAATTAACTTGATAATTTATTAATAAAAAGAAATTATTTACTATGAAATTAGAAATTTTAAAGAGTGTAATGCAATTTCCTGAACTACGGAAAACAATTCATATTATTGCTCTCTTATACAATAATAAAATTACTTCATTTATTAATTAAAATATATTTTTGATATAATTAAAAATTGTTAATTAACTTGATAATTTATTAATAAAAAGAAATTATTTACTATGAAATTAGAAATTTTAAAGAGTGTGATGCAATTTCCTGAACTATGGAAAACAATTCATATTTTAAATAAATCTCAAAAAAATTATTTGTAATTTATCCTTAAATTTCGAATGATATACCTCATCGGAAAATATTTTCCTCCAACTCATTATGCAAAAGCTCGTACATTCTCAGTGATGTAGCAACAAATGATTGCTCACTTGTTACATAATTAAAAATCTATTTAATCTTTTAATAACCTCATATGAAACATATCGTTAAGAATCTAAAGATATTTGAGAAAATTTTACTGTAATTAAATTTCTAATAAAATATTTTTAATTTCCAAAAGAACTCTAATCATTCTTATAAGTAGTTCACTAAACAAATCCTAAAATATTGTAGTAAGTGAATATCTTCTACACAAATTTGATTTTCATTTTATTTTATTTTTTTAAGTTGTGCTTGCTTACTTTTCAGTCATTTTCATCTTCATTATCATTATAGAAAAATGCTTGGGAGCACTAATTAGTGTTCCCACTAATTAGGTAACAGTGGGTCCCGCCATTAATGATGTGATGTTTTGGTCTTGGAGTTATATATATATATATATTTTTTATTTTTTTAATGCATTAGTGCTATTAGTGGTGATGTTTTTAGTGGGATGAATCATTGTTGATCATTATATCTCATTTGGTATCTTCAATCATTCCTTCAAATCCATATCAAATTTAAATTTAGGCCCCTTAAAAAAAATTAGATAAAAATATTTAAAATATCCTTCACCCCTTGACCTAATTTTATATCAAATGTAATTTTATTCATATGTTTATCCAAATGGGTTTGGTTTTCCTCAAGTTCGGAGCCTAACTTGAGAGAGCGTTAGGGCTTGATTTACCCTTTTTGAAATAAATTCCGATTATCTGAATCATTCAATTTTTTAGACACACTGAGTAGAATTTTCATGTAAAAAATTAATATGATTGGATATCAGTTGCTATACATTTGAATCATATATATATATATATATATTTTTTTTTTTTTTAAATGGACAAGAAATATAATTTCAAAAATAAACATTTATTTTTTGTGATATAAATTTGATTCAAACATATAGTTACCGATATTCGATCATTTTAATTTTTTGTATGAATATTCTACTCAACCAGTCCTAGAAAATGAACAATTTGGATCATCGAAATGAGACATATGGTGGGTTTCACGGATCCCTCAAATTCTCTCATGTTGAGATCCCAACATGAAAGAAGCCCAACTCTATCCAAATTAGGGGAGATTCAAATTCTTACTCATAAATTTTTAAAATTATTTCATGACTCTCAAATTTAAGCATTTGAGTTTGTCTATTGGAGTGGTTCATATCAAATAATATTTTTTCCACATTTGAGTAATTTTTTTATCAGCATTTTTTTAAAACTAAAAATATAAAATATAAAAATATTTATAAAAATTCCTGAAATCTTGTCTTACATCATGAAGGGTTGTCATTTTGGCTCTGAATTCAGGATGGAAGTGCTTAGAATTGTGGTTTCAAAAACATTTGGTCTTATGATATTTCACTGATTTTTTAAAAATAAATATCAATATGTTAGGGTTTTTAAAGATCCAAATATAATAATTTTTTTTAGAAAGTTAGAAAATGTATTTTTAGATAAAAATTTAATAAAAAAAAGTGAATTTTTTTAAGGTTTCTGATATTAAATTTTTATAAGATAAAAAAACATATATTTTTATAATAATTGGGCTTCCTCAACTTTTTTACAAAAAAAATTCGACACAGATATATTTTGCCTCAACAGAGAATTTCAAAATTTCTCTAATATGATCATAGAGAAATTTTATTGAAAGACTTTAGCAAATAAAAAAAAAATACATATATATATATATATAGGACCTCTCCTATTACCCAAATTTGGAGATGGATGTTTTACTAATTTTTCTTAAAAAAATAGAACAAAAAATAAAGAATTTTTGAATTGTGTAACATACGTAATAAGTGACCAATCATAAACTGCCAAATCGCTTAAGATGTAGGAACTCCTACATAACAGGTTGGAGGAAAACCTTATCCTAAGTGGGGCCTCCCAATTATAAAAAAATGGACTGATTTTTTGCTTAACCTAATGCTCTGACTAATTATGATGACTACGTTTACATATAAAATAATATTTATCACATCATTTATTATTGGATTAATTTCAGGGCGCTTGGGTGAAAATTTTAATTTGAATTTTTCTTGCCCACAGGTCCAATCGCTTTTTTATTATATCCGTGTAACACCACCAAATCTGAAACTATAGACTAACACAGTAGAGATATACAAATAGTATCGAACTCAAATTCACAACACAAATCTCAAAAGTTCTCTTTCTCATTGAACTATAATTTCAAAGTTACAAAATACATATTGAGCTTTCACAGTTCAAGAAGTTAGAGAAAGTTAAACAAATACACCTACAGGCTTACAATATTTAATACATGGCATTCAGTGAACAAAAGGGCCATTGATTTCAAAACAACATAAAAGTTCAACAATTAAACTACAACTTCAAAATATCATTGAATTTAGTCAAAAAATAGTTGGTCAGCTTCTTCTTCATTGAAGTGGTTGCGGTTCACCATGTCTTGAAATTTTGTTAGCTATGAATGAATAATTGCCCAGTAGAGAATATATTTACCATATATATAAACATTTAATTTGAATCATGCATAACCATGCCCCTTACTCATGAGCATTAATTTCCTAACCTCAAGTCCCAATATACATCATCCCACTTAATTCCACATTTCTCTGTCCTTACACGGATGGCTAGTGGGTACCTCACATCTTCTACATTTATCGTCCTCACATGATCGGGCACGTAGACACCTCAAACATTCCTACATTTGTCACCCTCACACGACCGGGCAAGTGGACGCCTCAATTTTCCCACACGCACAAAAACCATATCACGCAACATGCAACAATCTAAAAACTCAAATTTCATCTCAACACAAGGGATGTCAATGCATTTCCAATTTACTCATTAATTCCTCTTCTATTACCCACCAAGACCTATGAACAATGATTAGGGTTTCACAAGAAATTTAGGGTTTTTCCTTCCATTCTTTTGTTTTTCAATGTTATTGATGTATACTTCATTTTTCATTAAGAAATAATCAAATCTTCCACAAATCTTAGGACAAAAGTCACCATCACCATTAATATCTATATATATATGTATCACCCATTCCAAATCACATATCCATATCATAAGATTAATATATATTCAAACCAAACTATACATATACAGGGGTAAAAATATTCCTACCTCGAGGTTGTGAGAGAATAGATGAAGACCCAAGGAATGAGCTTCCGAAATAACACGATTCAATCGGTTCAATGTGTAGCTTTCGGCGAGATTAACAACTTTTATAAAGGAACAAGGATGGATCCTTACTATAAATGGATGAAATCTAGTGTTTTAATACTAGGGTTTTCAAAAAAGAGTGATAGAGAGATAAATAGTGTGAAAAGTGTGCCCAAAAAGTGTTTGGATCGAGTTTTAAAACTATTGTCGTGAACAAACCACTTGAGTGAACTTTCCATAGCTCGGGCGATTCACATAATATAAACAGACCTCTCAAGCAAACTATACATTGCTCGAGCGGTAAATGCAATGTCTCTGAAGTTTTGCAGAGCTACAATGAAAATACTGGAAGCTTCATTTCTACGCTTGAGTGACCACTTTACCACTCGAGCAGTCTCGGTTGCAAATTGGTAAGATACTAGGAGCTTTGTTTCACTGCTTGAGCGACTAATTTACCACTCGAGCGATAGCCTAGAACAAGTTATTACATTCTATCCCCTTAAAGAATTTTGTCCCCGAAATCTCGTGATTCTTGCCTATAATA